TGTGCAGCGATGGAAAGACGTGCATAGATGACAAGATGAAGCGTCCTTAGCATTATTTTGCAGAATTTTTTTTTGATTTGTTTTGCAGGATTTATTTTAATTGAATTAATTTGCTCTGTTAGAGGGGGTCGTGCCAGGATCTCGATTTCGGGGGGGGGGTCGTACCTCTGCGACCACGTACTCGACACGATTTTCACCCTGCTCACGAGGCCAGGGGCCTAGGGTATCGTTTTTCTGTTGTGATGGAGGTGGAGCTTTTTCCGTGGAAGATTCCTTTAAGCCTGATTAAAATCTCCAATACTTATTTACCCCCTACCAACTCGTGTTCGTTCCGTTTACAGATTATGATGTTAAAAATACCTTAGTAGAAACGCCTATAAAATCCTCACCTATACAGTTTCTAGGACCAGCACTAAAGGGAATGTAGGCGTACGGATGCCTCTTCTGAATATTCTCTTCAGAGAATCTCTCAGGATCGAAGATAAGCGGATCTTTGTAGACCTAAAGTAATCCATTTCCATGAAAACATGCATAGTAATAAAATATCAAATGAATGAATAATAAATAATTACTCTGATTAATTTGAGTTTTGTTTCAGTTCGATATACTTGATATATAACTGATACGGTTTCTGATGAGTTATTGTGGCGCACCTACAAGTGCATGCAATCACTTCATTATATAAACCAGAACTTTGGTGTGTCGGTTTGTCGGTGTGTGTGTGTCGTTCTGTCCGTCCGGACCAACCGCTCACAAAACCAGGGAGTACGAAGGGCAACACTTCGAGATGTTGATGTCATGATCATGATAACACCCACAGCGGCTATATAAACACCGATCGAGCACACTCAGTCTCATTCTACATGGTGCTGCCGTGGCAGCCGGATGAGCGGGGGGGAGGGGGGGAGGAGAAAGGGAGGGAGAACATGGCGCTGGCATGCGCCGAGGGGAGGGTATAAGGAGGGGGAGGTGGGGGAGGAGAGACTGAGAGAGAACGACCGTTTTTAAGAGTAAGGTCTATATTCATGTTGACGTATTATTCTAACCTGATGTGGTGATTGTGATAACACCCACAATGGCTACAAAAACACCGAACGAGCACACTCAGCCTCATTCTACATGGTGCTGCCGGGGCAGCCGGAGGCAGTAGGGGGAAGTTTGGAAGCCAGAACGGGAAGGGGTAGAGAGGGAGAGTGGGGGGAGGAAAGGGAAACATGGTGCTGCCATGCGCCGGAGAAGGGGTATAAGGAGGTATAACACATTCAATAGTGAGGTGGTTAATGGAGTACGTCATGCTGCTATTCCGTGGTTCCTCCCTACCCTGTGATGCGCGCGATAGCGGGCGGAGCAAACTTGGTGAATAAATAAACGAATAAATGATGGATTACCAACCCTCAAATTGGAGAGCTGTCATTCCTCCACTCGAAGTCATCCAGGAGTTCGAAGACATGCCCCACGATCAAGTTGCTGTGGAAAATTGCGAACACGAAAATAAAGGAGCGCCTGTTAGAAAAAAGGAGCGGATCTACTGAATCACCAAAAATACAGCCTGCCATGTTCTACGCTGTTGAGAAGTCGCAAAGGAAGATATCCCGATGGGCGATGATGCGAGAGAACGACAGACGGATATGAGAGCATGGCTGGGAGAGATACAAGGTAATTGGATGAGTGATACTGCGCCGATGGGCTCATCGGCCAGCAGCAAAGCTGAGCGACTAGCGTTCAGCGCTTAATAAGTCCATTTTGAATACATCCTTTTATACAACACGTATAACTTCGTATCGCAATCTATGCGCTTTAAAGGAATCTTGCGCGGAAAATTCTTGCACTCTTTCCTAACATGAATATGTCAGTTGTGATCACTGGAAATAGCACACAAAGTTTCACGCATGAAGATTCGGTTTCTGAAGAGAAACAAAACTACACGTTATGGACCATCGAAGGACCAGGAGGCAGAGCCAGGCGAGGCATGGAAAGAAGACGGCGTTTGGCCGGCTACGTACCAGGCGACGCAATGAGAGAATCGGGTTAAAGCGCGCGATTTCGGAGAGTGGAGACAAATCGATCGATGGAATAGGATGGAGTAGAAGTGTAAGATGTGAATGCAACGAAGCAGAAGGCCAGAAAGAGCTTCTAGTGAATGCACTCCAAGAACCAAGTTTGAGCATCCCCGTCGCCAGCATTCGTGAAAGACGTCCGTGGGCAATTCGAACGCGTAGCAGCCTTTTCGAGTTTTCGAATTTCTAATCAAAACGAAAGCAATACTTCAGTTCTTTTCACTATTATCGTGGATAATGAGTCTCAAGCCAGTGATTTATGGCTGAAATAGAATCATGATTTTTCCGCGCAAGATTCCTTTAAAACAGTTCTCTCCCCAGTGAAATGTGAATAATAAGATATACGATACAAGACGTTGTTCTGGCAAGAGATCCCTGACAACCACGTTATTGGGCGTCACAAGCCGTTCGGCCCGCCCCACTGCCGGTCGCTCCGCCCATGATTGTTGTATCGCTCTACCGTCGTGTCACTCCTCTATATTCAATAGTATGCTGTTGTCATTCTCTCTCATAGCCGCCCATTATAACCCATAAAACATGGAGGTCTGCATTTTTGGTGTTTTTTTTTCGATTCTTTTCCTTTTCTCTCGAACGGCGGGGTAATTCGCACCTCCACTTTCCCAAGTGGGACTGCGACACCACTTGACCCTGAGGGTTACTACGAGATGCTTAGCCGACCAGCGGAAAGTATTGGTAGTTTTATCGCTACTCTTTTAGCTTCAGCCCTGACATAGTATAAAAACAAAAGTATACAGATACAAGTTGGAGAAGGAAGCCGGCACCTTCTCCTCCGATTTGCTTAGTTTACCTGTCCGCTAGAGGTCGAAGGCGAGACAATGTAATTGCCGCTATCGCAACTAACATCGAGAATCCAGTATTTGATCCACAATGCTCCCCCACCCCTCTGCTTCCGATTTTTGATTGTAAAGTCTATGCATAGGTCAAATTCGCATTCGATGACATTACAATTTCTAACCAGAATTAAGTATGAGGTATATTTGGAGAAGGATGGATAAAGTTTTTATTCCTTCATCGCTCCCTATTCAATTTGTGGGGAAACCAGCTCTATCTGAAGATCAGGAACTGTGACTGTGAGATGGTGCTGATTGGATCTAGCCCCATAAAGGAGGGTCCCACATAAAGGAGACAGGCGGACCTCCTAAGGGTGCGACCGATACGCAATTCGATTGAAGAATGTGCCCTCGGCGATCTAGTGTGGTCCTCCCCACGAAACTATTGGCACGATGCACCCCTTCCCCCCTCTCTCGCGTAGCGTCGTTTCATGTCCGAGTTCCCAGCCTTTAAGAAGGGAGAGCGTTTGCGTTGAAAAGGGTGGCACTGATGAGAGTAGCATCAATGCGGAAATAATAGGCAAGGAAGGGTCCCATTTCTCAGGTTCTAGACCTTTTTCTCGCTTTTTCTTCTTTCGTGCTCAGTGACTATGTCTAACGTAATTCCAGTGAGCTGCCCTTCCATCGTGATATCCGCCTTCAAGAATCCAAACCACCAGACAATGTTTGCGTAAGCACTCGCTATAAGAAGAGGCGATGGCTTGCGCTGCGGTTGCTGTTTTGCCTGGGTATTTCGATTTATAAAGAGCAGAGCCAACCTGTGCGTTTGCATGAATCATGGCGGGTGTGATCATGATTGAGCAGCCCTTCGGTATCATGACTCCTTCTGTAATAAAAAAAGCTCAAGATTATAAAAGGCGGAAGAAGTTACGACGAGTGATATTCCGACCAATTTCGATATCCTGTTCGAGTTTGCGCGTGAAGTGTCTCGGTACCGGAGGGCCGAAGCCTGAGCGACTCCTTGATACATTTTTCGAGATATTTCATCGACTTCAGATCTTCGTTCGTGCAGCTGCGATCCGACGAGCCTGCACTTATTCATCACTGCACCTGCTCCAACCAAAAGTAGAGGATAAGGAGGTCATACCGAAAATCTCATCCATCTCCTCGTGAAGCCTCTTCTGGAGCTGTGGATTACAGGACAAACACCATAACGTCCAGCCCATACTGGACGCAGTAGTGTCGTGACCTTAAAAGGAATATTCGAGTGGTTTTGAGGAAGCCGTTATGTCGATCGGGCTCACCCACCTTCAAACATAAAAGTGTCAACCTCTTCGCGGATATCCTCGTAGGAGAGATTGCCTTCTGCTTGCACGTCGAGCAACAAATCCAAGAAGGCCTTCTTCTCTCCATTTTGCGACTTTCGCACACCGCGCTCGGCTATTCTTTCATTAATCACCTAAAGCTGTTACGTGCTGGTGTTCTCTGCGAAAGTGAAATCAACCTTCCTCATTTCAATATTGCTAAGGCTTATACGTTTTAATTATTATTCTCATAAATTTGTCCGAAACTTAACAATAGTGCTTAATGTGGAGAATTAATCTTTATCTCGCAAGGAAGGATCAAAAAATGTGTCTGAATTATATTCTCACCTTTCTCGTGAAATCCGTAACAATTTTCAAGTGGCGGTCGTATTCAAAACCGTAAGATGACGCATACCTGCAAACGTCTGCAAATAATTATTTGTAAAGTCCGCGAGCGTCTTGTACAGCAGCCAGTGTAGCCCGGGATCAACCGGGGCTTTGCGACCTTGAAAAATTTCCCTCATAAAACTACGATTGAGATCATCAAAATTACGGCCCATTATCACACGCTTTCGAGCCCGCGGAGGGAGAAGGGCTAGCTGTGATACTCGTGGGCTACTCGATCCTGCTCACAGGATAGGTTATTCGCCATGACCTCATCTGGGATTATTGCTTCGAGATGGTCGGCAATCAGTAATTCCTTTGAGGGTCTAACCGCTTTTTACCCCTTGACATCTATTTGCACCCACAACAGTTTCCTGACTATCAAAATCCACTGATGTTTCGAACAAGTTCGAGATCAAACTATTTTCAGGATCGAGTGCTTGGGTTGTGGCGTTGGTGTACACGTTTGCCCCCATTCTATATATCTCCAAGGTAGAGTTATAGATTCACCTCTTAACACATTCACGACGACGCCCCTTTTCCACTTTTCGGTCGCGTGGGACGGACGCGATTTTGTGGGCGCCGCCGCCTCACCACATAACCGCAGATTTTGTTTTGTAAATGAACAAAAACATGAATGTCACAAAATAATTTCTGCAATGTCCAATGCGTAAAGATTATCTAAACATATAACAGTAGGATTTCGATCAGAACGACAAATAGTGGTTACGAAAAGAGCATTTATTCACTTTCCCCGTGAAGAATTTAAAAGCATTTTACACTCGATTACGAGGTTTGCCCACCTATCTGTCCATTCCTAGCGCCTGGCAAGCGATTATCAGTTGGCCGCCCATATGGGCGGCCGTCGGCGTGAATGTGTTAACATCCCTAATATCGAGGGAAGGCTCACACTTCTAGACTGATGAGATAAGTTCGCAGCAAATAATGGGACGTACCAAATCGCCTGAATCCACATCCAAGGCATGCGTTCGTGTAGAAACGCGAGTTCGTTGAGTCTTCGAACCGACTCCACATAGGGATGTTGATGGTTCTCTTGTGCGGAAATATGGCAGCCCATAGCGGTCTCTAAAACCCAGTTCGAGATAGCGAATTTGTGGAATCTTTAGGCGGTTCTTCCGTACTTATATGTGTTCTCTCGCAAAAAATTCAATGACAAGCGAGAGCATTAAGTAGACCAACTCATTGTTCCCTACTAGAGTGTTAAATTTCGGTCTCAAGAAAATCCAACATCGACGTCAATTCTGATTTTTTCTGAGTTAGTTGGGACTTAAGCCGTTTAGACAGAACGAGCACCCGAAGTAAAGCTCTGGCGTGAATTAAATTTCTCATGCTATCACGTACAATGCGCGACGTATTGACGCGCTTGAAGTGATATAAACCGTGCTCGGCTCCAGTCCTTCCACTTTTCTCTCCCTCAGAGGAGAGAGAACAGTCGACCATAACCCGCCAACTATACGATGCGCCGCTTCATTGTAGGAGAGGAGATGGCGACGCACGTCAGCAGTGGACTTGGTCTAGCAGGCACCAGGGGGCAACCTCCCCATCCTGCGACGCTCATCCATTCTTGGATTGCTGCCCAGCGGGGTAGCCTCATTGTGAGCATAAGGCTATTATAGGATTGTCATTGCGGAAATCGCGTCGATGCGACGCGCATTGTACGTGACTACGGCAGGAACATCGTAATTTACGCTTACTTCGGGTGCTCACTCTGTCTAAACGGCTTATCTGTTAGACTTAGCGGCGGCACTATTGAGCTATTACAACCCCAGAGGGGGTGAGATGGATCAAAAAATTTTTTCGCTGAAACTTGCGCTTAGGGGTTATCGAGGCTCCTGATCACGAATATGACCTTAGTTTTGGCTCAATTTCTCTAGGTGACGCTCGAAATAGATGTCATCTAGGCGCTCATCCAGTAAGGGGGGCATCAAGTGGCTGCCCTCACCCCCCACCCCCCTGAACTGGCTTCACTCCCCCTGGCTCACGGGGTCCCGTACTTCGAGAAACCTGTGTGCCAGGGGAGTGTAGGCAGTCGGGGGGTGGGGGGTGAGGGCAGCCACTTGATGCCCCCCTTACTGGATGAGCGCCTAGATGACATCTATTTCGAGCGTCACCTAGAGAAATTGAGCCAAAACTAAGGTCATATTCGTGATCAGGAGCCTCGATAACCCCTATTCACAAGTTTACAGCGAATTTGGTGAAAACACCCTTGGCGCCAATTGGCGCCAAAGGGCGCCAATTTGGCGCCAGCGCCAAAAACTAAGGTCATATTCGTGATCAGGAGCCTCGATAACCCCCCTAGCGCAAGTTTCAGCGAAAAAATTTTTTTTGATCCATCTCACCCCCTCTGGGGTTGTAATAGCTCAATAGTGCCTTTTGGGGTTGTGATCATGAGAGAACGGCTATTAGCTGAGCGGTTTTGTCAACATAATCGATTTCGGAGTTGAAGTCCTAAGGCGCGATTTTTGGGCATCGTGTTTTGGCGACTAGTTCAACTAGTACGACCCGCACTAAGGGAAACGCAAAGTTGTTATTTTTCGTCGAAACTTCGCCTATAGGGGTAATTCGGTGCCCTGATCACGAAAATGAGGTTCATTTTGGCGCTGGGCGCCATTTGGCGCCAATTGGCGCCAATTTGGCGCCAAGGGTGTTTTCACCAAATTCGCTGTAAACTTGCACATAGGGGTTATTGGATCCTATTATGTATGTCATGTCTTTGTTGTAGCATTTCGACGGTCAACGCACTATTTCCTTCTCCGGATACTGCTCATCTGTGTAGCATGGGGAATACAGACATGAGCCTAGAATGTAGGGAGGACGTCGCGGTGGTGAGACATTCGAACAGGTGTGTGGCGAGAGAGCGGTGAGAAGCGATAGATCACAGATAGAGGTGTTATGTTGCACTTCGGGAGCACTCTCCTCCTCAAAGGCTTAGTCCCGATCGCGAGGTGATCAGTGAGAGGGCGCAGACGAGCGGAAAACAGGCGCGCACAGGCGCTGGAGGGAAAAATGAATGTTATATTCGTGATCAGGACCCCAAATAACCCCTATGTGCAAGTTTACAGCGAATTTGGTGAAAACACCCTTGGCGCCAAATTGGCGCCAATTGGCGCCAAATGGCGCCAGCGCCAAAAATGAACCTCATTTTCGTGATCAGGGCACCGAATTACCCCTATAGGCGAAGTTTCGACGAAAAATAAAATTTTGAGTTTTTGGGGTCGTAATAGTTGAATAGTGCCGGATTTTGATCCTTGATTTTACTGAGCTAACATCCAAGTGAGGTGTCCGTTTTGTTTTTGCCAGGTCGCGCATTGACCCCTTCATTCTTTCCGCCCGGACTGCACCCACCGCACTGCGCAAAGTATGAAAGCAGCCTTAATTCGAAATGGCTGTTGAGTATTTAGGAACTGCAAAACACACCGCAAGATGATATCGAGAGCGCACCGCTTGACGAAAGGGAAGATATCGAACTCTTTCTCGCTGGAAACCATCTTTTCTAATTGACCAACGAAAATCTGGAAAATGTGGTTTGCAATGTGAGGTGTTCGCTCAGTAATTAATCACTTTACAAACCTTCGCTTGCCTATCATGAATGACTTGGAAATCATTTAGAACCTTGAAGTGGAATGCAGGAGTGAGAAGCTTTCGCCGCGTGCGCCATTTTTCTCCTGAAAGATTAGAATTTGTAAATGAGAAGATCTATTTGAGCTTAAAATTTTATTTTCACAGAGAGCATGAGATAAAGGCAAGAGTCTGGATCAATTTGATGTGGTGACGCCGCGAATGCGAGCCAGGGACGCGAAGTGAACCAGTGGACAAAAAAGTGATATCGTTAAAAATATAAATGATACGGACCTAATTGTTCAAAGCTGAGGGGAAGTCTGAGAGAGATGAGAGTCGCGGAAAGGGAAAAAACCCCTCAAGAAAAAACGAGCTGGATCAAAAAATACGGGCTCAGAGAAAATATCGACCGGTGGTGTACTGCTCGGATGGGCTTCGGCGAACTAGAATAGTGGATGCCTAGCGCCTCAGTAAGGCGTTTCAATGTGCTAACTTGTTTCCACCTCTAGAGTCACGGAGCTAGCGCCTCCACCCACGGGAGGACCTCTTCAATGAGTTTCAGCACGACCTCTGCTAGTGTGCATGAAGCATTTTGAATTGCTTATATCGTTCTTACACTATGACTTGCGAGGCCATTCAATGTGAAGAGTCGAAAGTTTTTATCCTCTAGACTAGACTTTAGAGCAGGGTGTAAATCGTGTCGAGTACGTGGTCGCAGAAGTACGACCCCCCCCCCCGAAATCGAGATCCTGGCACGACCCCTAAACCAGAGAGCAAATTAATTCAATTAAGTAATCAAAATCAAAAAAATCCTGCAAAATAAATAAAGAAAAAATCCTGCAAATTAAATCAAAAAAAAAAGTCCTGCAAAATAATGTTATGGACGCTCATCTTGTCATCTATGCACTGTCTTTCATCGCTGCACACTTTTGTGTATTTACTGAAATATCGACTCGAGGAAAGAGGCATTAACTTTGTGTGACCTCAAAGTCAGGTTCGTTCAGAAATGCACAGAAAATCCTGAAGGCACGGGGTTGCGATTTAATCTTAATTCCTGCTTGAGTATATCGAAACAGCCGAGTGTATCAATCAACGGCCGATTCAACGGCAGCTGCGGCGCGATTGTCACTGGGTCAGATTTGCTGAAATCCCGAAAAAAAAAACCGTCGAAATCTACACCCTCGATGAAAAGGTTGCATTCCTCCATTTCATAACCTTTGAAGCAGTTTGAGGTAGGGTTAGATAGAGCTGGATTTCGCGTTTCCAAGAAGTATTGAAATTGCTCTGAAAGTCTTCCATGCAGAAGATAGGGTCTCTCAAATTTGTCGAGTAAATGTCGAGGACGCTGAAATTTTTGCGTGAGTTTTTGCCACTTCAAAAGCAATATCTCGCTAATGCCGCAAGATCCTGAAAAAGGGACAGAGGCAGAGAGTCTTGGGAAACGGTAAGGTTTGCGCTTCTGATCGTCCTTACAAGGGAAAGGATGGTAGGTCGAAGTGGCCGTTATAAAATGAGATGTATACCACCTGATGCGTCTCCAGACGCTGATTCCAAATCTGCCTTCCAAATCTGCTAAACGGCTCTCCGAACGGAGTTATGAAGCGTAATAGCTCAGTGGTGATGGTCCGGGGTGGCAGGTAAAAGCTCGTAGGATCGGTTCCTTTGCAAGTTTGTTGCTTTGCTTTTGTCCGCAACACTTCTAGAGACAAAAGCAAAGCAACCAATTTGCCAAAGGAACCCGATCCAAGCCATGACCCAAGGGAACGGTCCTGGACCAGGAGAAAGGACACCTCCGCAAAGGGCTAAGGGTGCAGGAGCTCCAGGGTGGATCACCTGTGCAGAAAAGTGGATGGGATGTGGGCAGGTAGTGTGGAATGTAGGACATCCACCGGTCCTTATCAAAAGTACGCTCCGTAGTGTTCGATAGCCCAAAGAACTGCTCTCTAGTACTACGGATAAGATAGCAATGGAGTCCCCCCCCCCCGAACTGGAGTTTCACCTTCAGTCGAAATCCGGCTCTGTCTTTGACAGGTAAACAGCGCGCATTTGTGTTTCCTTCACGTCACTCTTTACATTTTCTTGAGGGTACCCCAGGAGGCCCGTCGCGCGGCAAGAAGGCAGAGTCGGCGGACGAGTTGCAGCGCGTGGTGTGCGATGTAGGACGTGCAGTGGGACACTATTTAACTTGACGCGAAATCCCTATAGTACGCGCGCGACTCGTCCGCTGACTTTGCCTTCTTGCCGCGCGACGGGCCTCCTGGGGGTACCCTTTTCTTTATTGTTATGAAAATAGAAGGTCAAGAATGGTTCGAGTTGAAAATAGCTCTGTGGAGTATGTAGTAGTAAAAAAATCCTCAAACAGGTCGCGAAAAATATGCGCGTGAGGAAAATCACATGGTAATAATTTGAAATGAATCACTCGGTCACACGCGGCCTACGAAGGGTGATTCGCTCCTGAATCGCGCTATTCCCAGAATATTAACGGTGTAACTGCGCTTCTTCTCTATTTTTTTCCTAGATGGAGAACGGTAAAGTAAGCGATAAGATCAGCTTTAGTTGACCCCTTTGTTGACTTCATGGAACAGATCCCAACAACGAAAAACCCCGAATACAAATCATTCGTATGAATAGCTGATCTTTTCCTGTTATTCAGTGTCGCGAACTACACTGGAGTGTACGATAACATATCTTATCACTGGCATGCTTCACTAGAAAACAAAGCAACCCGATCAATGAACGCTAACAGTTCCGGGAGGTCCCTGAGGTCAAAACATCAATTGAAGTAAAATTGGTCGTCTTACCAGTTGAGATCAGCAGACCGGTGCCGAGCCATGGTGTTAGAATCCCGTATTCCTCTCCTTTTGTTATCGTGTCCGAACTCTCAAGGATAAGCTGCAAATTGAAATAATATTAGTTTTGATCACTCAGTATCACGGGAGGGCTCACACACGCACCTTGGCCGTCTCTGGCCTGATGCAGATCACCATCGGTCTTGTCGCCATCCACAATCGTACTAAGCCATGCCCTTGATTGGCGTAGAAATTCCCCCACTCTCTTAGCTGCATGGCTAGTCCTGAAAGACATTCATATTGTGACAGCTACATCCTTACCAGCAATGCGTATTTGTGTTACAGCACCATGCAAACCACCCAAAGACGTTGGCCGCGCTTGAATTTTATCTCATTCAGACCAAACGTCTCACATGTTAGATTAGAGTAGGGTAATCTCGTTCGTTGGACTTTATCAGGGAAGGACTGAATATGTGTAACCAATAAGCGCACGGGCAAGTGCTTTCAATGTCATGGAAAGCCCTTTGCTGACAAATCAGCATATACTGATTTTCTTACTGGGAGCTGAGCATAGTACAAAAGCTGCGAATCGTCCTTTCTAGGATGTGCCACACATTTTTTGTCCATTCAGAATCGTAGTGGCATTCTGATTGATATATGGCCCAGAGAATGCCCTATGTATTATAGGGAACCGCTCAGAAGGGAAATTTTCGGGTCCTTTCAGACGAATCTTCAAACCGCTGTCTGAACCAGGATGAGGATAAAAGGATAAAGCATTTGCCGTTGATCAATCCCTTTTTGGGATGCGGCACGCATTCTACTTCCATTTGTACATTCGTAGTGGCGTTTGAATGCGATGTGGCCTATACAATGACTTGCGGGGGCCAGCCGATGTACAAGTCAGTGTTTTTATCCTCCCAGACAAGTCTGGTACCAATTAACCGACCCCGGAGGGATGGAAGGCTTGGTTGGCCCGGGCGACTCACGACCCAGGATTTGATCCCCGGACCGCTCGCGTGGTAAGCGTGCCACTTGCCACTACACCACTTCCGCCCCTCTGAACCAAAAGCATGAAAAACTTCTTTGTACTGTAGCGAAGCAGCTTGAGGATCAACCACCAGAACTAAAGTATAAGGCGTCGCCACCGACCACTTCACTTCCTTCGCGCCAGTGTGCCGAAGAATTCCCAGAAACTCATGAACATGCTGTTCACTGCTCAGGTGATCTGTGGAGAGTGGACACATGGTGACTTTTTGAGATCAAAAGCTCAAAGCATTGGAGAATACAAGTGGTCCAATCGGGAGATAATTCACGCTAATTCCGTGACAGTCCAAAAATCATCTAGAAACTACAGCTGTATGAAATGATTCACGCCAACTAAATTTTTCTAGCTCGGATCTTCCTAAAGTCCTATTCCAAAACAATGTTTAGAAAATTCAAAAGCGAAGAGAATCACCTGCAATATCCCATTTGAAGAGCCACGTAGTACCTAGAATGGGAATTGAATATGGCCCCGGAATTTGATCCATGTGCTTTATTAGTCGCATTCGCTCTCGGATCAGCGTGTAGATTTGCTTCCAGTAGAATATTAAAGCCACAACTGTGACTGCGAGAATAATCGGTGCCAAAGCCATGCTATTAGGCTCGCACCTAAAATACAGATTATTTACTGGATGGCCTGAAAACAGTGATCATTTGAGGTTTCGGCGCTTCTTAGAAGGTATTTAAATAGCGATTTAAAAAGTGTTTAGTTTCGTTTGATGTTGAGCGCACGTCCAAAAACAATGCTGAACTGTTCCTTTGCCCTTGCACACAAAGTCAAAGTGAGAATAGCTCACGAATCAAAATATTTCTAAAGTTGAAAAATTGCTGGTAGTAGAGCACCGATGAGACCATCGAAGCAACAAATTCAGAACGGCGCTATACGCGGCCATCTTTTAGGACCAACCCCAGGCAGGGGGAGGAACTTCAAAGAAAATGAAATTTGCTTACGCGCCTTGGATCCCCTCCTCGCCCATCTAATGGCGAAGCTTAGTCCCGTTTCTAAAATAAGAAGATGTCATGCGCTTTTTGAGCGTTGCAACTGCAATGCCCCAGCATCTTGCGATAGCGCCTTCAAGCCGGTTGATTGTCCATTGTGCAAACCTCTTAATATATATCGAGCACAAAAACCCTGCTGGTTTCTTAGGGGCCAGTATTGGGATATTAAACGGTTCCGAGTCCGTTTGAAAAGTCATAAAATGAGGCCAGCACAAACACATAGCGAAGCGCTCTGTATCCCCAGAAAAGCCATAATGATGCGTACTGGTATGATGCGGCGTCGTCTGCTTGTCTTCGAACTACAACGGAGAGCACTTGGTTTCAGGTTATCAGGGTAATGCTGAATTTTCACAAGGCTACAGACAAGTTTGAATTTCATATGTAAGCAAAAATAACAAATAAGTAAAGTACCATAGAAAATCTGAGGAGTGGAAGGGTTTCACAGAAAACAGGGCAAATTTGAGTTTTCAGAGCAAGGCTAAATGCCAGAGCAGCCTACACGGCTTCTCAATTACCATCGCAGCATTAGTAGTAGAAAATTAAACGGCTATGGATTGAGCCTGGGTAATAAGCTGTTTTCATGGAGATTTTATTCATTTTAGGAATGTCACTGGGTACTCAAGGTGTTGCAGTAGGTGCTGTTTTGCCGTGACTGGCAAGCTACTGATTGCTATAGAAACCCGCCGTATCATTATCACTGAATCATTTCAGCTGCTTCATTAGTTAGAAGCGCAAAAGTTTCGCAAATTGAATCGAACGGCGCTATCGCAACGAATACGGGGGCACTGAGGCAACACGCTAAACAGCTCCGTTGTTAGAAAGTTGTTCTAAGCCACAAGGACAGGGGGCACGAGTCAATAACACATGAACAATTTTCATTGCGTGTAGCTTCTGTCCTCCCCCCCCGTAAGCTTAGTGGTAGAGGATGCCCCATATCTTGCGATAGCGCCAATTGAACTTTATGACCTTTCTTAGAATACTTCATATGAAGTTTTTCAGGTACCTAGACAAGCGTGGTCTTGAACGGTGTATAATGTATGCTATACGAGCGGAAAATCCAGTCTTCAATCTCGTAAACAAAAATGTAACAAAAACAACAACAACAATGAAACTATGTATTCCAAATATCGCTAGGTAGGAACAAGGGGTTGCTCTGGAAGTGTACTTTGATGTGTATTTCGTGCCATAGAGGTTTCTAGGTGGAAACTTTTATTTATGGCCTTTGAACTGAACAGTGTCGTTGTCAAAATTCTGGTCGATTGATTGCCCATCACACAATTCTTCTGAAATGTCCAAACAATAGGGGTTTTTCCTCAAAGGCTTACCAGAGAAACGTTATGGAGAGGTGTTGGACGATTCGGAAGGCCTTTCCAAATCTGGAGCAAAGTTTTGTGCTTTTGAGAAAGACAATCGGATTCGAATATCGCGTAAATAAAGTGGCCGTAAACAAAGCTTCCACATAAAAACTCTGCGGCGCAAGAGAGATATTAAGAGAAATATCAAAGCCGAGGTTCTATGAAGGGTGTAGTCGAACTTTCCTCTGGAAGTAATAATAATTGTAGCGCTACCAGCTGGTCGGACGTAGTAAAAAGAAGCGCGGCGTTCCTTATCATCCTGGTGTTGTTGAAATTGCGTGTAGTCTATCCTGGTTGGAGATAACGTCCATGTGCATATAAAGCAATCACTATGCTGCTCATAAAGCGCAAATGCACAAATGCAAAGCACAAATGAGCTGATAATAATTTCTTGGATGTTTTTGGACGAAAAACGCCTATTTTTTCACGAAAAATTTTCACTTCAAGCGCACGCCCCGCCCACTGGAGGTGGAGTTTAGCATGGCCAATATATTCCCTTATAGAGCGGTAAGTACCCTATTAAGGCCTTATTTTTCCCTGTCTTTAGACTGTTCCGAAGCCAAAAACTGCAATTTTTCAACGAAATTTCGATTTTTGACGCACGCCCCGCCCACTGGGGTGGAGTTTAGCATGGCCAATATATTCCCGTTGTAGAGCGGTAAGTGCCCTATTAAGGCCCTATTTTTTCCCTGTCTTTAGACTGTTCTGAAGCCAAAAACTGCAATTTTTCACCAAATTTTTTTAATTTCGACGCACGCCCCGCCCACTGGAGGCGGAGTTTAGCATGGCCAATATATTCCCTTAGAGAGCGACTCATACTCTACCCATTCCAAACTTGACCCGCCCTCCCTAGGTGATTTTTGAAGGAAGAATTATAAACATGTGGGGGACACTTGCGAATTTTTGGGGAGCGGTCAGACAAACAAACTCTGGTTTATATATAGTATGATTAGCTCATTAGCACAAAACACGTCGGTCGTGACCAGCAGGTTAGCGCACATCGCAATGAATCGCAAGCTGAAAGCTCTAGCAGAGTAGTACTGTTATAAAAATCTAGTGTTAGCTAATGTGAGTTGCTTGGTGAACCACCCTTTTTCAGAGTAGTTGTGCCATGAAAGTTATCACAATCATGGTCTCCACTGGTGATGTGAAGAGCAGCACAAAAGGCGTCTGCAAAATGAGAGGACAGTGTTCGATTACCGCCTGGGTGACGAGTTTTGCACACATCATGTTATCCTTGCGATAACTCTCTCCTGAGTTTCGAGTACGTCAGGCGATTGAAGAAGAGTGTTGGCGTTTAAGAGGAAGGTTCATGTTCTGATCTCGAAATTTGTTTCTCTTCGGAAAGTGAATCTTTGTGAGTGAAACTTTGTATGTTGTGTAGTGATCACAACTGGCACATGAGTACTGAGAAAGAATGCGAGATTTTCCTGGGAAAGGTTACCTTTGAACAGTAGAATCTTTCTTTTAGTTAGTGCTTTTGAAGGAGTAACGTCCACTCAGTAGCGATAGCAAGTTTTCACGGTGTTACCGAAGTTGTTCCTTTTCTGGAATTCCTTTCGATTTTTCTATATCTATTTGTCATGGATACATTTACACTTATATTTTTATTTCTTGCATATGTTTAACAACGAAGTGGTCCCGAAAATAGCTGCATGTTGGTAATACGTTTACCTAGGTTTCCATTTTCCCTGTGCTTTTTTCCCGCACGTTCGAAATCCGCTTGTCTCACGCGGTCAAAAACCCGAACGCGCTGCGCCATTATGTTGAACCGAAACCTTCCGTTAATACTGTATAATAATTGAGAATTGAAAGAGTTGAGAATGATGCTGAGATTTTACTACGAGAAACCTTGAAGGTTCATTCATTTTCTTCACTGCGTAACATTTCAATGCTTTTCTACCAGGTTGTAAGCAGGGTCGGTCCTATCGTTGCTACTTTTCAAAAAGTTTTTACGACCCCCCTCCCTCATAAAATGTTTCATACACACCCCTCCTTCAATACAAATTTTTACCCCAAAAACTACCGTCGACGGGGTATATACGCGCGCTGAAACGGCAAATTTTCTCCCGCGCCGCTCCCCACTCATCACATGCAACTTCTTACAACCGAAGCAAGTACGACCCCCCCCCTCTACAAACTCATCAAAATACGACCCCCCCCCGTTGCTACTTGTAGCAACATAGGGTTGACCCTGCTTGAAGGTTAATGGTGCATGTAAAACTGTGATGGGTTTAATAGCATGTCACGGCTGTGGCTAATAATCGTTGTGAATCATGCACTTGAAACGTTTGTTGTTAATCGTCAGAGATGCCTGAAGAAATTATTATAGAATGTGGAATGAAAAGGACACTTTCGTAACAGTTTTGACAATTCCGATCATTTGCAAGCCGACACGCAGTTGGTTTGCAGTGCAATAGAGCTTTTTAAATCAGAACTTCTTTTCAATCCCAAGTTTACACAAGCCATAAACCATAGGAAGAGGGTTGCCTCTACAAACGAATCGTATATATATTTTATTATATTATTATTATATATTTTCTTTCACAATCATTTCAGAGTTTTAGATTTTTTGCCTGCGAAATGGGAGGTCCGCCGACAAAAAAGTAGGCAAACCGACAATTTAGCTCTAACTTCTATCTTCCCTTCGGAGAAATCAATCAATGATGTACCCTCTACTTACTCCATGACCTCTTCTAAACATTCCACCCTTAGGTTTGCCGAAAAGTTTTGCCGTATTTCTTTTCGGATTTGGTTTTTCTGGATGACCAACCTTTTAACTGAATCTGCCTTTGAAACGCCATTGTTCCATATCAAGTATTATGGTGTTCAAATTTCGGAACACATCATTCCTAGGCCTACTGAGCTTGGTTTGGCAGATAATATCAGCAATCGTGCGGGATGAAAAAATTACATACTGGCTGGTTTTTCAAGTCGTTTTGTTGGCACACCACATTGGAAAGCCATTGTTAACACTACGATTTTGAGTGAAACCGAATCTTGACACACTCGGAGATATCACCCATCGTCTCCATACAGTTTACCTGCGGGAGTAAAAGGGCTCTCTAGTTCTGGTCCCTCGGGCGCGTTTGGTAGCGAAGAGGTGATGCAGGAGAAGTGTTGTGCTGCGCTTTCCTGAGCTGGGTCCGGTTTTTTGCTCGTGTTTACTATAATGCAAGTTTACTCCCATAGAGGTGGTTTCACAAACTTTGCTGAAGCTAGCAGTCGTTTAAAGGAAGCGATTACGACAAAGAGGGAACAATATGCGCCACACGAAGCAGCACCCCGGCTGCCAAGGAAGCGAGGTGCATACGTGCGGCGCTTTCACGACGAAAAATGCGCTGGTTGCTGAGCAATACTTAAAAGTCGTATCGCCCTTATGCGCTCCACCCACAACTTCAGTTGATGACTCGGGGAGCTACATTCTCGCCAACAGCGACACAGCTGGAGCAACGCGGATGGAGCATGATTAGGTATGGTGCCACTGATGCACTGAGCTAAACTCGTTCATGCGTCTGCTGCCCTAAAGCAACAGGCTCAGCAGGGTTCTTTACCTCCGACTGTAATGGTGTTGAACGATGCGCTAGCCCTAGTCAAGAACATAGTGTGACTGAACAGAAAAAAACTCACTTTGGAAAGCCGTGAAAGGGAGTTGAACGCCTTCGAAGCGAGCGTGTCGGCCACCGATCATGAGCCCCTCCTGCCAGCCATGGCTGGCTGCGGAGGCATTTGCGTGGACCCTGGATCGAGTTCAAATAGTTTCTGTGGTCCCAAATCGGTCACAAATGCCAATGAAGCCAATCACGCGGCTGGCATGAGGGGCTTACGATCGGTGGCCGACACACCCACCCTCAAGAAGTGGATGGACACTGGGTGGAATGATAAAATAAAGGATAAAGCATTTGCCGTTGATCAATCCCTTTTTGGGATGCGGCACGCATTCTACTTCCATTTGTACATTCGCAGTGGCGTTTGAATGCGATGTGGCCTATACAATGACTTGCGGGGCCAGCCGATGTCAAGTCATCCTCCCAGACAAGTCTGGTACCAAACCGACCCCGGAGGGATGGAAGGCTTGGTTGGCCCGGGCGACTCACGACCCAGGATTTGATCCCCGGACCGCTCGCGTGGTGAGCGTGCCACTTGCCACTACACCACTTCCGCCCACTTCCGGTGGAAGCGTGACTGAACAAAAAACTCACTTTGGGAAAGCAGCGAAGGGTAGTTGAAGCCGTTCAGCTCCCTTTCAGCGGCTTTCCAAGGTGAGTTTTTTGTTCAGTCACACTTCTTATGCTCTTGATTAGGGCTAGCGCATCGTTCAACCCCATTAGTGCCGAAGGTAAGAACCCTGCTGAGACTGTTGCATTAAGCGTTGCCCGTCTAAAAACAAAAATAAACGGCCGAACAAGGGTGCTCCGTATTGCGTCTTCTTACCGGGATACTCGCTCTTCACTTCAGATTCAATTAGCGCAACCACTGAGCACCCACATTTTCCTCTGGAACCTCGTCAGAACATATCGCAATTGCTGCCTCCCACATTTGTTCGACGGCTCAGAGTACACTCATCAGGCAGATCTCATCGTCAGGCCAAAACACTCCAAACATCTCAATTTCTCCTCCTCAGGATTGTACGAAGGCGGTCACCTCTCAGGCCGATGTCAGACTTTGCGAATCGCGCGATTAGCGTCTGCGGTCGCGTCGCGGCCAGTGAATCACTCAATTGGCTGGTACCGCAACGCGACCGCGGACGCTAGCGAATCGCGCGATTCGCAAAGTCTGACATCGGCCTATGGTAGGCGCTGTATTAAAGAGGCTTGAGGTGGAATACACCCAGCAAGAAGTACGGTAAATTCGACCATGTTCTAACTTCTCTCTACCGCCTCACTCATGTTTCCAGGTAGGGTCTATGGTCGATAAGATTTCGAGTTTCTTATAAGCACCGGGTGTCATAGACTGCTGTTCAAATGGTCGTTCTCATCGATTTGTGATATGTTTTACTTTGATCAGGATAAACGTCTAATGACTCATTACTGGGACCAGTTTCCAATCTTTTACGCAATCCTCCATCTTATTGGTTTGACTTTCCGATTAACACTCATAATGTTTTCTACCTTTCTTATATGATAGACGCTCCATTCAAAATCGATTGTTGCGGCAACATGGTTTCCGATATCCAGCAATTCAAAACCAATGCAGTAGCGAGAAACTGACTAAAGGATAAATGACAGAGCATTTGCCGTTGATCATGCCCTTTTTGGGATGCGGCACGCATTCACGAATCATTCCACGAATGCTCGAATCAAGCCATTCAGAAGAAAAAATTTTTGAGACCACCATTGGTTTTTTTCTGACAAAAAAAAGAGAAGCACGGAAAACCGTTTCAGGCGAAAACTTTTGACCGCTACCGTCGTCTATTGTCGTCCATCAATGAGGTGACAACACTCTCAGAATTGATTTGTTTGAAGGAGGATTCCACGATAAGGTCCGAGGTTCAAGGAGGTGAAACTACTAAGGGTGCGGACCGACAACGCAATTCAACCAGAAGGATATGCCCGCCGAGTTAGCATGGATCTCCGTACGGCGCAATCGGGCGCGCGACGCTAATCGGACTGAGCTTAACCTCTCGCCGCAGGTCTCCAGCCGTTTAAAAGAGAGAGAGAGAGAGCGTTAACGTCAAAGAGGCAGCACCGATGAGAGCCGCATCGTGCGTAAATCAAAGGGCGGGTAGGGATCTCGATTCTTGGGATCTTGGCCGTTTCCCATGGTTTTTTCTTCACCCTCATCACCTCTGCCTTAATTCTGATAAGCCGCCCGGCCCTAATCGTAAGCTTAAATTAGTGGAGTCCTTTTTATACCATTACGGCTTTTAAACTTCGGGATTGGGCATGCAAGCGGACGAAGTTCCAGTCGCTGGGTACAAGTCCAGGTAAATATCGAGAATGTCAAAATGCGATGCTAGCTAGGTGGATTTCTCAGTTCACTGCAACACCTCGCGCTTCGTCGTTTGGCAGAAGATTCATTCTTAAGAAAACTGCAATTTGTGAATTTTGGAAGTAAGTTGTTTTAATAGTGTCCACCGGACTAGCAGAAAATTATTTTTCTTCTCAAGGCCACATCCTCCTGACGCCTGCTGAGATTCATCCTTCCACAAGCGCTTGGATGGTTTGCATGGATTGCCTACTTTCTAGTCTTCAGTGACGGTCTTGAGGAGCCAGCCGAAATTCCGCTGTTCGCTCGTCACAGAAGCTCATAGTAAAATGATTCGTGACCAAATGGGTGTGAAGCCGGAAAATTCTCTGCGACATAAGTATAAACAGAGCTGCACTTGCAATACGTTGCTTCTAGCAGGCTTTTGCATTCCTCAGGCAAGCTAAAAAACATCGAACTTACTTAGCTCACGCAAGGAGCCAAGGATATTTTTAGATTTGCATGCCCTCATCGTGTAATCAGCTGACCCTCAGGCCGATGTCAGACTTTGCGAATCGCGCGATTCGCTACTAGCGATTCGCGCGATTCGCTAGCGTCCGCGGTCGCGTTGCGGTACCAGCCAATTGAGTGATTCACTGGCCGCGACGCGACCGCAGACGCTAGCGAATCGCTTTCGAGTCTGACATCGGCCTAAGCAGTAAGCTTCTGTTATAGTTACAGAAGAGACATTCGATCCCCACTGGCCTAATCTCCTTTTCTTCTTATATGATGTGGTCAGCGCGTTCGCTGCAGTAGCAAATGCGGGGGGCTTTATCTCGTCTCAAGCGGGATGGGTAATCACGAACTTCCCCACGATAATGGAAGGAAATCGCTTTAATAATTTCCAAAGCTAATGACGTAATACAGCACTGAAAGACCTCGGCAGTGCCGTTTTGCACTCGATGGCCGTCGAAGGGTGGGTCTCTGTGATATATTATTGATAGAGTTAAGGATCGCCTGATTCCATGCAGGGGATCAAGTTACACTGCCTAGTACCCGTCGTCTTGATAAATAAGATAAAGTTGATATTGTAAGTCGCTTTTTCTCGCGGCAAACCACAGCTAGTACGCCATCCTTTTAGGCTTGGTCAGTGATACCAGATTTCACTGCAATAGTAGCAGCACCTACCCTAATTTCCGGTAGGTAAGCTCGGGGCGACATTACCGTATAACTACCCGCCGGTAGATAAGCCCGCGTCGATATCACGTAAAAACACCTCCGCTGGTGCAGTGCACTTGCGTACATCTAGAGACAACCGTAACTTGCCCATAGGGGTAATTCGATATGCTGATTACGAAAACGACATTCATTTTTAGCGGTGGCGCCATCTGGCGCCAGTTGGCGTCACCTTGTCACGACCCTTGTTTTCACCAAAATCGGTGTAAACTTCTGTATAGGGGTTATTTGGTGCCCTGATTACGAATATGACATTCGTTTTTGGCATTAACGTTGTTCAACGCATATTTCTCGGTTGGAGAGCGCAGACGAGCAGAAAATAGGCGCCAAATAGCGCCAGCGCCGAGAATGAATGTCATATTCGTAATCAGGACACCAAATAACCCCTATACGGAAGTTTACACCAAATTTGGTGAAAACAGGTGTCGTGACAAGGTGACGCCAACTGGCGCCAGATGGCGCCACCGCTAAAAATGAAGTCATTTTCGTAATCAGGGCATCGAATTACCTCTATAGGCAAATTTACGGTAGTTTCTAAGGTGTACAAAATTACACTGCACGAGCGGAGGTGTTTTACGTGATATCGGCGCGGGCTTATCTACCGGAAATTAGGGTACTTGATTATTCGTTAAGTTCCGCAGTTCACTGTGAGCCATACACTCCAAATGCCAATACGATACTCACACGGGTCGACAACGCCATTACTAATGCGTAAAGTACCACAAAAGTAATGTACATGGTAATCTCATAATAGGCGATTTTTAAGTAGTATTCGAGGAACAAGGCCAATTTCTACAGAAAAGACTCGATATTCTTAAGTTAACGATTCTTGACATTAAAAGCATCTTCGTAATCCACTCAGTGCAAAGCTTGAGCCTTTTCCCCAGAGCCCACAAATCTCATCTTGTGAACGCGATTATGAGATGCATGATTCACGCAATTTACAACACCATTTCAATTTCAGACTAATCCAGTCTTGGAGCACATTCAAAACGGTCTCCTGAGAAAATGAGAAATAAATGAGAAGTTGAAATTGCTTTCTGACTTGGCACTTCTGTTGCAGATTAAAGGCAGAATTTACGATGAAAAGTTAGCTCATTGGAAATAAGGGTAGAGGTGGTCAGTGGAGCAGGGATGAAGAAGAAACCATTGAAACGGCCCAAACCCGAGAAATGGGACCCCTTCCTTGCCCGTTGATTTGCGCATTGATGCGACTCTCATCGCTGTGCCCTCTTCAACACTACGCTCTGAGATAACAGGTTAGTCGTGGGCGGACCCGCAAACCGCCTGCAAGAGTGAATGTCATGCCAATCTCCTAGGTCAAATCTTTCGCGCAATCACGCACCTTTCAGCCCCTCATGGAGGCACGCTGTTTTTCTTGCCCCAAAAATGTATGGATTTTCCCCTCCCTTCGCCTTCGTTCTTGATCGTGAATTCCTCCTTAATTTTCTGTTTCAACTGCCTTTTATAGATTTTTGCTTCTATGATAACTGTGGTCTCGAGTCCAACGAGAAAAAATCGCTTCTCGACAACCAACTTGACTATGTGATCGAAGGTTCCCTATCCTGTTCCTAGTGCCACGGCCATTGTTGCAATTTTGATACGGCAGGATTTACTCTGTGAAGCTGTTCAAGTTTCTGGAATTCCGGCACATTTGAACCCAGTCGCGACCGTGCGGGATTGCGCAATAGCAGGAGAGTCAGGAGATTTTTCTGCAATAAAATTTGATGGATGGAGATTTCCCCTGCCCAGGGGCGTAGATGAATGAGGGTATGAAGATTCTTTTCAGGAAAAAAACTTTCCAAATTCCGTTTGAAAAAACGGCAGCCACCGGTGGATACCATTGCCCGAGTGAGATCCTTGGCAGCCACCGGTGGCTGCATTGTACATGAGTTGCAACTATGCAATGCCCCGATTCCAACAATAACAATCTCTCGCAAATAAACACAATATAACCGCGATGGATTACTGTCTAACAGAGCCATCTTTGGAATTATTCAAGATTCTATGTATTGAAAATGAAGAGGCCACACTTCTTTTCTCACTCTTTTCTTTGGTTATTTGAAGTACACTCCGATTAGATCATTCTGTTATGGAGAAGCATCTCTCCGTTTATTACTGTCTAGCACCAAGACGAGGATTGCTGTGAAATAATTTGTGAAGTTCTACGTTGATTTGTGATGAGTGATGGAAGTTCAACGATGAGGAAAGTGAATTTAGCCGTCGAGAGGTCAACCTCTGAGATGTCGGATATATGCGTGTTTCGCATCAAAAGGGCATAGCCCATCAGTGCCGTATGCAGGCCGTCTCAGCTTCTACTCCCCCACTTCTCGCCACTAAGTTGGCTCACGTTTGGGCAGCGAGTGCTGTAAGCACGAGTGGTGGAAGAGGCAGCTCCAATGAGAGTGAGCAGTCAGTGCTGCGTCAACGAGCAAGGAGAGAGTTCATTTTGAATTCGTACGCGTTTCTCAAAAGTTTTCCTTCATCCCTGGACGACTAACAACTTCGCGATTTCGTAGGGCTGCCTTTCCATTGCCAACCGTCTTCAAGTTCTGGATAGAGGAAGAACTGTGATTGCACATTCGCGGAGCAATGAATATTCCAGAAACTGCGAATATCCTGCCCATATTTCGGTCTCACAAACAAAAATTAACATCGGGCGGGACTGATGACTGTCTTTTTTTATACTGCCCTCCGAAGTCTTCACTTTTCTCTGACCACAAATTCTGACCTGCAGACTCTGACACGAGCTTTTGAAGGAATGGCTCTTCACCTCGCGCCTCTGGTGCGTCTAGAGTACACATTTCAAAAACCTCTCACCTGCAATACCCGACTCTCCTTCTCCTCCCGCTCCTGAGCTCCAGAGAACAGCCGTCCAATCGATTACTTGCCCACCGCTCCTCCTACATGTATCACTTATGACAGATTTTGCCCTCAGGCTTCAAGTGACGAGTCGCTTGACACTCCGTAAAACACCTCCCATTCTTCGCTCCGTAGAGAAAGGTTTTACTTATATGCACTTAAAAGCTTGTAAAAAGTTGCGTGGTATAATCGCCAGCATTCTCGTACTTTCAACTGCTGTTCACGTCATTCCGAAGAATAAACAATCCAGGCGCCGACATATAATCCTGTCTATGTACTTTGGCTGGAAAGTTTTGACTTAGCTGTACTGCCACACCTATTGTTTCCTTTGTAACCTTCGACCTCATATTTTTCGAAAAGCTGAACCAAGTGGAAATTCGCCGTCGGGTTTTGCCGCCTCCAAACACTCTTCCCTAGCCGCTGTTAGTTGCTCGAACATTTTATGCCACTGCAGGCTTCCAGAGAACCTTTTTCTTCACCGCGGTTCTATTATCGCATGAATCATGCCAGGCCTCTAAAAACAGCCATTTCTCTTAGACATCCTATGGTACTGTAGAAATCTACTTTTAGAACGAGTCTCACATTACACTGTGAAAGAGTAGTCTCTAGTCTGTGTAAAATTTTTAGGATTCTTTCAAACCCTGGGCAGTTGCGGGTGTAAAAGTGTGCTGTTTTTATTAGGTATTTTTACAGTATTACACTTTTTCGCATCTCCTTCCTTCCTTTCCCTCCATTCCCTCTCCTTATCTGTTTCCTCTTTTATTCTACTCATTTTTCATATCCTCCATCAGTCCGAAGTCCTTGTTTTTGACGTCTGGATGCACTTTAATTGCTTTTTCTCTGAAGTGTGTGATTTTTTGGAATGAAGCAGATATCCGCCTTTGCCTTCAATTTCCCCACCTCAACGGTTATATCAATTTACCCGGTGTTGAGGCAATCTATGATCGAGGAATTCGGCTCGGGAATGTGGTTGAGCGTGAGAATATGTGGATTTGAAATTACACTGCTCAGCGCATGCTTTTAACGATTCATTTGACTAGAGAGCGGAAACACATCCCGACCAAACACCAAAAGCTTATGGGAAGAGAACAAAGAGCAATTCGATACCAACAAACCTGAATTTTACCTGGCAGGGGTAAAATAAAAAGCGCAACACATCTACACACTGTTTCCTGTAGCCGAATGCTTGATGCAGTTCAGACTTGATTGACATCAAACGGCGTTCAATACTTAGGGTCAAAAGCACACGCGATTCAGATTTGATTCTTCGTGGCGTTTAGCGTGTGACCTGTCGGGGGAAGAAATAAAAAGCGCTCTTATTGTTAGCAAGTTGAAATAAAGCCCTACTGTAGAGAGAGGCCAGGCTTCCTTAAATAGCTGAGAGATGGCGCAAGTGTTGGACTGTGACCAATTCATCGCTGGCTCATGGCTCGAATTGTTCGCATCGCTTACGAATCGCACCATTTGCAGCGACTGGTCGCAAAGTCTGAATCGGGCAATCGCGGCGAAAGGCGCATCTTTAAGAACCGGCAAAGCCTGCGTAGCATGCGCAGTTTTTGGAGAGATTCCTTTCGGGTGACTCATGGCATTAGGAAAGCACTGGATGCTCCTGTTATCATCAAAATTTGCTTTTCATTGGGAAGAACATTTCACTTCAAATCCAAATCTTTCGTTTGCCTATCCTATGCCGTAACAATCAAAGCATGACTTTACTGGCATGACAACAGAATCAGGATATTGTGTTGTTTCTTCTGTGCCATACAGGTTGTTATGGTGGAACACGTTTATTGGTCAACGTTTCGACAATTCGTCGTCTTCAGGACCTGAAACTGGTTCGAAGTCCTAGCTCTGTAGCTCACCCGGTAAAGCGCCTAATCTTACTAAGTTCCCGGAAAACCGAACATGGAAGACATGAAAAACCGAACAATGGAAGATTCAG